AGTAGTTCCGATTGCAGCTCCGGATCTAGGGGGTAGAGGGAGAGGGTTGGCCACTTGGGCTTGTCGCAGGTCAGCCACCTCCTTGGTCAAGTCATGGTACTTGCGGATCATATCAGTCAGATCATCCTGAAGAGTCCGCAGCTTCGCAAAAACTTCAGCGATCAGAGTGTTATGGTCCTCAAGATTCCGGACTTGGACCAAGGCTGTGAGTATGGACTGCAGTTGTTCCCCACATTACACTTCAGTCACCGAGGGGATAGTCTCTAAGAGAGCCACCTGCCTTCTTAGGAGGGTCTCCTTCCTCTCCTTCTCTGTCTCCTGTCCCCGCTTTATAGCGCTATCCAAGAGTGCTTGCAAATGTGGTTTCTCAACATCACCGGCTGCATCTAACAAGGCCCGCCATTGCGTTGAAGTTAGCTGGGCCATCTTTGGACTGTCAGTGTGGGCAGGTGGATCAGAGAGTCACCAGTGAGCAAAAGAATCAATCCGACTCGCAAGAGGTTCACTCCCCCTCGCGCTTAGACGAACACTCCTTTTTCCAGTCCTTGCCCACCTCAGACTATCACTTTCCCCCTCTCCCTGTTCTCTCTCCCTCCTCTCTCTTTCTTCTTTCAGATTGCGCGTCTCCACGAACATCGGAAATGAACCAAAAAAAAAAAAAATAAAGCTTAGAGAAGAGAAGGGAGAACTCCTAGTCGGAGCGGCATTTCATTTGGAAGTAGAGAACATCAAAGAAACAATCAAAAGTCAAAGAGAGGTCTAATCCAGCGACCCAGTCTGATCAGGTTGCATATGAGGTCCTCTCGAGTCTAGTCTGACCAGCGTCGTGTCCGCACATCAAATCGGACAACGAGTGACTAAATGCAACAATTGAGAATTGAGTGGTGTATAGGGTGTGAGTGAAGCCACGGACGGTGCAATCAGAAGACATGCGAAACGTCAAAGCCAAGATCCCCTCGGCAGTGGGTGTCCTAATCCAAGAAGAATGAACTCGTATCGCAGCCAAGAAGACAAGAGGTTAATGCCTAACCGAGAGAGGCTCTCCTTGTTTGGGCCCGGTCCCGCTGGATCCCAAGGGTTCCGCTTGGTCCCAAGGGTCCCACATAGGTCTCAACCAGGTCCCAACCGAGAGGAGTCCCACCTGAACTTAGTTCAGTCTCTACTGCACTGAAAAACGAAATTTCAACGTCTGGCAGAACCTACAGATTACAACCGTTCAGTGATGAAAAGACAAAGCACTGTAGAAAGACTCGGCATGGATAACAAGATACTTCATTTTCCATCCATCAAGTGAGTAGGTAGATCACATGCATTCAGTCACACAATCAAGACCACAGAGGCGTAGGAATAGAATCCCAGACTACCCCAACAGGACAATCAATACCATACACACATACATGGGCATCCCTTAGGTGCACGACACTTACCTGAGTGGCCTTGAGCTTCGAGATGAAGAGAACTCACCCCCCTTCTCATATGGTCCTCCTGACCCATCTTATGCTACCCCTACACTAGTGTCCTATCACCTAGGAGGGTCTGACTCCAACACCCAAGTGCAACGCCGGATCCCCCGTCGATGCTAAAGAACAAAGTAGCAACTTGCAGTCCGTTGATGCAGAATGGCCGCTGACCCTCAAGCTCGCCTACTTGAGGGCAACCCTTAAGTTGCCAAGTGTCTCCCTTGAATCAAATTCCAGGTGTGAGTGCCTCTCACTGTCGCCTCTCTCAAATCGCAGCATGAAGTCTCCTCGAAATGTCTCGCCACCCTAATCTCATTCTCAAGCAACCTGGTTAGGTTCTATGTTGACCCCACATGACCTAACCAGGTGGGGGCAGCTTCCCTTAGCCACGCTGCCCCACTTCCCTCAACCATCCAACCCTAACCCTAAGTGTTGCCCTTAATCACTTAGGTTAGGGTTAGGGTAGCAAATTCAACTCTCACCAGCAAGTAGAATCCGCTCTGATACGAATGTTATGACCCTGGCCAATTTCGAGATACACATCAACTGAAGAGTACAATGTCATCCAATTGCAGAAAGAAATGAATGAACTTGAGAGGAGAGGGAGGAGTAGAAGAAGAAGAAGAAGTAAGAACGAAGAAGAAGAAGTAAGAAGGAAGAAGAAGAAGATGTACACCAGCAAAGACAATGACAAGGCTCTTCTTCTTCGCCCAACAATCTCCTCCTTCTTATCTCCCCCTCCTCTTATTCATACAAGAAATAATGTTACAATGTTGAATGACTGGTCCTGAATCATGTCTGAGTTCGTCTTCTACTGCAGGTATCGTTCAAGGTCCACCATAGCCATGGCCGCCTCTCCCTGTCTTCACTCTTATAGGCCGAGGGTATGGCGGACTACTAGGCCTTGTTCAGATGTCCAAAGGACAACCCAGAGCAGCTATGGCTGCTTAGGCTCTGGCCGCCATGCCCAACCCTGCCTTGAAGCTTCTTGGTGTGGCTCTCCTCGGCTGGGGACTCCTTGCTGCAGCGCCCACCAAGGTGATGAAGATGGCCGCCACCATAGCCAGGTGAGAACCCCTGGCGCTCCTCCCCCTTCCTCCTTCCTTCCTCCTTCTTCCTCCCTCGGTCCTTCTTCTTCCTCCCCAGCAGCGCAGCTCCAGCCCAGCGCTGCTCCCTCCAGCGCTCCACTAGTGTGTCGCCAAACTTGCACACCAAAAAAGAGGCCGGCTCTTCCTCCCGACCGGAAGATATAGCGGCCTGCTTTGCCTCTTGGGCGGTGACTTCCAGGCCGCTGGCCTTCCCAAGCAACCGGTACCTCCTCCTCCTTTTGGAGGGAACACCATTGCAGACTTTGATATTGCCCCTACAGGCCCTAGACTCAGACTGGTACCGGCTAGACCTAGCCTACACTACCGGCCTCTAAAAATGCCACTTTTGTCTTCTTCTGCTCGGCTTCTGGTACCTGCATATTTACCCCCCTGCCGGGTGCGGTACCGGCCTACCCGCTACTTGACTGTTTTTTCCCCGCTGCAACCCTTCGAAGCCACGGCCACAGGTAAGTACCGGCCCTGAGGGCCCAACGAACGAACAAGTGTCGTGGCCGGCCACACACATGCACACTCGTACCAACCAGCACTCACACAGGCACGGACACACACGCAAGCTAACCAGCACTCAGACACATATACAGTTCAGCAAGCACACACACACACAGACGTAGCAGGTGGGGAACTGTGTAGGGCATTCAGGCTATGAGCAAAACTCAGAAATCAGTTGTGTGTTTCAGTGTGTGTTTGGACGGGTTATCACACTACCCCCCCCTCATGAGCGAGGTCCCTTCAACAGCGATTTCTTCAAAACGGACATTTTATATTTTTTGAACGAAATTGAAATTGTCATTTTTGAAATGATTGAAGTGCAAAAACCATTACAAATGGGCATTTTGGTGTGACGGGTAAGGGGTAAGGTATAAGGGGTAAGGTACAAGGGGTAAGGTGTAACGGGTAAGTTGTAAGGGGTAAGGTGTAAGGGGTAAGGTGTAAGGGGTAAGGTGTAAGGTGTAAGGTGTATGGGGTAAGGTGTAAGGTGTAAGGTACCATGCAAGGGGCAAGTGACACAGTGCACCGAGGAATAATTAACACCTTATATACATTGTTTTTTGTCAAGCGCCATCTGGTGCCAACCACGTCCGCTCCCTTCGCAATCATAGTACATAATATCACGTACACACTACTCGTGAGCCACTGTGTCCAATGCCATCCAACGACGTATAGCGGGTATGTCATTTACGGTGAAACAGAAAGGCGGAAGTTGGCCCCGTGCCAAAAGTGACGAGTACGTGAGTACAAAGACCCCACATTCGTTCGTGTCATATTGCTTTGGAATGCGCTCTGCATTCCATATGTGATTGAATGGTCTCGTGTCCACCTCTTTGCCTTGCGATTTCGATCTTTCGAATAAAAACTTTGCGAATCCGCCGGTCACTTTTAACGCGAACTCCTTGTCGGGGTCGAGGGGGTCGTAAAATTCGAATTTCCTCCTCCTCAAGTCAGCCACGACCAAGGTCCATTGGTCCTGGTGTGCGATATGGAAAGGATCAATAATCAAATCCATGTCACTTATAATTACATCCTGGTACCAGCGTTCTACCTCTCGGCCTCTATATCTCATCTCATTATCGAAAAGTTTGACCAAAAAAAACGAGTTATGCACTGATACTCTGGGAATGCGACCGTTTCCTTCTCTAATGACTATTTCATTATCCGCGTCGCATTTTACATGCTATATTCTACAGCAGTTGTCTAATGCTACGAGGTTGAGATAAAAGTTGATCACGTTGTCGTTTAACCACTGTTGTTCGACGGCGAGTAAAAGGAAATCGTTGCGAGTGAGTTGCAACACTTCGTTATTGTGCGCATCTTGTGTGCTGACAACGGGATACCTATTCCCGTATTCACGAATGATATGCGCTAGTGCTGCCATCTCCCTGTCCGATAAAGACGAAGTTGCTAGATGCATTGTCCATCCTTTTTTGCACAATCTTGTATCCGTTGTTGTCATTTGTACTGCACACCACAAACGATGAGGAAGAGGACATTCACGCGGGTGGACGGGGCAACTATTGTGAGTGCATGGCCAAACGTTTTGTGAGAGCTGATGCATGCAAGGCATGTTTTCATTATTTCTCTAATATTTTACTTGTATGAACGTTATTCACATATGCAGTCATTCATTCCTCGCATCGATCGACCATCCTTGTATAGTACGTCCGCACACACACGTCCATGTCGCAACAAACGAGAGATAGATAGATAGATAGATCGATAGATAGATAGATAGATAGATAGATAGATAGATAGATAGATAGAGATAGATAGATAGATAGATAGATAGATAGAGAGAGAGAGAGAGAGAGAGAGAGAGAGAGAGAGAGAGAGANAGAGAGAGAGAGAGAGAGAGAGAGAGAGAGAGAGAGAGAGAGAGAGAGAGAGAGAGAGAGAGAGAGAGAGAGAGAGAGAGAGATGTACAATACAACACATACGATCCCACCACGATTTGTTACTGCAAGTCGAGACGGGCACTCAATCTAAACATCTCAGGTCTATTAAAAATTTGAGGTGAAAAAAAAAATATACATAAATAGAAAAACGATGTAGAAGTGGTGCCTACGGAGACTAATACGAATTCTGTTTTAAACAAAACAACGAACCAAGTCAATTACACAATTTCGTTCAACAAGGCAGAGGTGACGTTGTAATCATATCACTGGATTCTCTTCCTCCACTTGCACCCCTCCCGCCTCACCCACCCTCACCCTTTTAATCAATATCAGCGGTTAAGGTGTCGAGGTTACGAGAACGGTGCATTCCCTCCACATCCCCTCCCTTCCCGCCATCCCCACCGGCCCCTCCCTGTGATGTCAGCGGTGATTGTGCATCACCTTTGCCAGTGCATAAAGACAGTTGCAACTGACTCTCGGCCACGCTCGGCCCAACATCAAACTCTGACTCGATCTCGGATCTGCCTTGCATTGCAGCATTTATTATCAATAAACTCCCGTACGTGGCACCAGCATCCGGCGGCAACGTCGTTGACACATCAATGGGTGAGGACGATTGTGCCGCGGCGATCGAGATGGATTTTTTCGATATTTGCAGCTTAGACGTGATGTCAACCTCTTGAGGTCCGACAGCAGTAGTCCCGTCATCTCCTCTGTGCCCTGCTTGCACGGCCACAGAGGCCGGGTCAGCCGAAGGCATGAAATCATGAGAGCAGCTCCCCTCCAAGGTTTTGGTGGTTTGATCAACCTTCCAGTTGATTGACCCGCGTGAGGAACTGGAGCGCAGGGCATAAAATTTGTTGCTGTACTCCAGTTGCCGATTGTCGCGCAAGACATGAAACAATTCTTCGGCCTTGGCTTTGATGGCGGCCTCGCTCTGCTCTGGATTCTCGACGCGCACGTGATGCAGGATTGCGAGTTCCGTCGTTTTCAACCAGATGTCCTTTGACATCCGGCGAAAAGTCTTCCAACCGCTTGTGTATTTCACCGCCATCTTCCACTCCCAATCTTGGATGCACAGCTGTAAAACGCCCTCATGCCATATGATGTCATGGCCCCACTGATCCTCGCCTGTGTGAGTGTGTTTGCCCTCCAAGAAATATATCGTGTCCGGGTCAGCACAGTAGTCTGAAGGAATTGCATCGCCTGGTGCGAGCGTCGACGCCTTGCCTGATATCTCTATGTCGTCTTCTTCATTGCCACCGCATCTTCCAATATCTTGCAATGCAGCACTCTCCGACGGGGCCACCATTGAGGCGACGCTTGGGGCGGCCATCGGGATGGACCCTTCGTGCGAATGGACAGTTCCGTCATCGTGAGCTTGCACCATTCCACCGCGCGGAACCTCAACACATGTGTCCTCGCCCAGTTCGAGGTCGGAGTCCGAAGAATCTTCCTCGCTGTCGACGGGGTTAAAGCCATCGCCCGATTTCGCGAGTTCCGCGTAGTCCTTGGACATCAATTTGTCTTTGCGAAGATCGAACTTGAGGATCTCGCATCGAGCAACAAAAGTCTCAAAGGCGCCAGTGAGAGCACCGTGATAATGTTTGAGGGTCTCTGTTGCCTTTGCTTTCCTGTATATATATTTCCCGTCAAGCCGTCCTTGTGGCATATCGCGGAAGAAGTATTCCCACACCTTCAGTCTCTTAGGCCCCAACTTGTGGAACATGTCCCTGTTCGGGCGATGTTTGCATCGTGGTTTCTCGATGTGGCAGTTGAATCTGTCGTCCTTGACAAGTATATCGATGAACTTTGTCAAGTATGCAATGTCCTTTGCCGACTCATCACATGCAATGACATTATTCCCTCCCAGTAAGAATTCCCACACAAGACCCGCGTGCGCCCTACCCAATAAAAGCACACCTTCTGCCTCCCCGACGAATGACCCACAAAACGAACGCAACTTGCAAGGCTCTCGCTCCCAGATGGAATACACCACACTTTCATCGCCCTCTATGCCACCATGTTTCCCCAGACACTTCCCGAACTTGTCCTCCACAACATGCACGTTTGTGAGGTCATTGACAAGGCGGGGTGCGACCGTGACCTTTCTGAGATCCCCTCCCTCCGCGTGCAGGACAATGGCCATCATGTCTCGACTCGCCGTAGCGATATTGCCATACCTCGTGATGTCATTCGATGGCCTGTCCACCCGTTTCCAGGTCCCGAGGATGAGTTCGATGTCCTCCCACTGGAATGAGCAACGCAGAATATCACTTTGCACCTTCTGTGGTGTGAAGACAAAAAGAACCCCATTAACGCCACAACACTTAGTCACCATAGAGTGCAGAGCGTCGAACTCTTGAGAGGTCCATGTCGTGCAGAAGTTAGCGGGGGAGATGTCAAGGATGACGGCCCTGCAGGTTATTTTTTGCGCTGCAGCGACGATGTCGTCTGGCGCAGCTAGCACTTCCTTCAATGGCATGCACACCGGTAGCAATGTTGTTTGTTTTTTAAGTTTATCCGACACGATATGACGTGCGCTGGAGGCGACCCTTTTGACCTCCGCCGGAAGCAGATCGAGCTTATCGATTGAGGTGTATACAAACACCTTAAAGTGGAACGGAGCCTCCTTATACATTGCCGCCGTAGGGCCCAAGCTTGATCCTTGCCTTGCCTCCTCCACCCCTCCAAGCCGTCGAGGGACTGTCTTTACTTTGCTGACATGCAGCTTGTCCCGTTCCTTCTCCCATTCAGCTGCACACAGACCGTTCAGCCCATACCTGTCTTTGAGGTCCTTGTATGACATGAAGAAGGCATCATTCCACTCATCGTCCACCCTTCCCTCGGCGCGAAAAACAACGTAGTTGAACATACGGACCATGTACCGTTCCTTGCGCATGATGTCGAGGAGGCACTCCGTATTCACTCTCGGAGGCATAACCTTGACGTTCGTCGCGACCACCTCCCCTTTCATGAGGAGGAGCAGTGCAACTTCCTTCTCGCGGCACGTCAAATCCCCAAAATTTTTAAAGTAGGAAGGACAGAGATCCTTCCACGACACGGTGGAGCCTTTGGGACCATCTCTCGCGTATATGCAATGGTATAATGTTCTTTGCCCCTTCGTCTCGTCGGTGTACAGGCCTGGCTGGCGCCCCTCCATCCTACCCGGCATGTCAAGCGGTATTTTACCATCGCCAGCTCGCAGCTTCCCCTCGTTGAACATCTCGAAGAACTTCTCGACCAGTGGCCACACAGCCTCGGTGGATATGGCGAGGTTCATGTAGCCACAGAGTTTATTGCTCCAATCCTTACTGTACTCATTCTCAAGCGCCTGCTTCACAAACGCCTTGTCGCATGCCTTCCCCATGGAGGCCCTTAAGAAATTATGCCACTTCTTTTGGTGCGCAACGGCGACCGCATCCTTATCATTGACCTTGCCTTTCGGGGCCTCGATTCGATGGTTTTCGATCCACCATTGCCTCATATCACGGACAGCATCCTTGAAGGACAACATCATGACCCGATTTTCGCGCGTGTTGTCGAAGGCGGAGACATTGAAATACCCTCGAGTCTGCGCATCTCCAAAATAGACGACCCGCACCTTAGAGTACGCGGGAAGGCCATAGACGTCGACTGTCGGAGAGTCCTTTTTTACCAATGTCTTCATGGCCTCGAACGTATGCTGACCACAAACAGCATACCAATCGAACTCCGAGGAGTCTCTTTCGAAGAATTCGGTCGGTGTTATCCGCCTACCCTGCTCGCCAACAATGTCGTTGCGGTCAACCGGTGCAAGCACGAGCTCAGGCCTATCCCACGCCCTCGGTTCCGTGGTGATGGAACTCTCGATGGCATTCACGATGCCTCGCACAATGTTCGCAGACAAAGAGCGGTGGTTGAAAAGAATATTCCCGCGGGGAATGCGTTTGATTTTCATGATGTCCACAAGAACAGGAAGGACTTTTTGCTTAGCAAAACCCCGCTCATCGTACTCGAGGAAGAAACACCGCGTTGTGTCGATGGGCGCAGCGTGCTGAAGCGGTTCATCATCATCGTCGGGCATGCAAGGGCCAACTCCCTCGCCCTCATCCCCTGAGTCCCGCAGTTCTTCAGCCCTCACTATCTGCTTACCTTTTCTTGTGCCACCACGGCCGCCGCCACAACCACCAGATCTTCCCCCTGGCTGCTCTTCCGAGGAGGTCTCGCCTCCTGGGATGCCACCAGAGCTCCACGAGCCTCATTAACAACGTCAGTCCTCGCTTGTCTCTTGTGAGCGGAAGCAGAAGGAGAAGTTTCTCTTGTCCTTTTCCTCGACTTTGATCCTCCATGCTCCTGCGAGTCGTGCCCACCCTGACTCCCGCCTTGCGAATGCCATATTGCAGGGAACGATAAGGGTCGACCAACAACCGCTCCCACAGAACCGATGGGGATGTCGCCAGGGCCATGCTCCGACGTGACACCGACGTCGTCATCGCCAAGCATATTTTGGTCCTGCATGTTCTCATCCCCAATGTCCGTATACTCGTCATCACCGTCGTTTTCACGTGGACCGCAACTTCCCCCATCTTCTTCCTCCTCGTTTTGCTCAGTGAGGGCAGTCGCACCTTCCTGGGCACTGTCACGCGCAACATTGCGTCCGTACAAATTTCTGTCATCGTACTCCATAGCCTCGCTGGAACATTGAGCGATATCGTGACCTCCCCTCACCGTGGGCAAGGGCGAGGGTGACGCGGCTAGCAAAGGCGGAGCTGGACAAGCAGCCAACTGTTTCCTCTTCCCAACCGGCGCGGATGGCGTCTGTCGCGATTTCCTCGAGCTCGTGGCAAAGGGCACGAAAGCGCAGTCGGCTTGTTGGTCCAGAGGCAGCCTCGAGAAGGCTTCCCTATACTCCTTAACAACGCCTGGCAGTTGGTCCGCCGGGCTGCTGAATTTCACCAAGGGTTTGGTGAGTTCCAAGGAACTTTCAACGACAGGAAGGCAGCCAGTGACGAGGTAGCTGTTTGTTCTACTGAGGAACTGTTTCGCAGTCAGCATGCGAAGCTCGGTGCCGTCCCCGCGCACGTCAAACGCTTTCATGGAGAACGCCTTGACGCCGTAGCCTTGAAAGAGCCGCAAGTCAAGGCCGACCTTCTTGTGTTCCTTGACCCAATTTGTCCCATCCTTGTCGAAAACTGATGTAAGAAAGAAGGTCCTGAACGTCCTCTCGTCGTAGGTATTCCTGGCGCTCTCAGATTTCTCAACACCCCCACAGCATAACCACGTCGCACCATTGTCGTCGCTCAAGAAGATGACGACCCCACACCCAGGCCTATGCAGACCACCAACCCAATCCAGAGCCCATGGTTTGTTGTTGTAGATTTTTGATCTGCCATATGCCCGAGAGGACGAAGCAGCAGGTTGAGCTAGAGGCCACAAACAAAGGAAACGCACAAGCAAAGAACAAACGAGGAACAAACGGAAGCGCTTCGCATGTGGAGTCGACCCTCGTTTATGGAAGGGGGCCCGACATTCCCAGAACGCCCGACCCCCGACCGTCGTTTATGGAAGGGGGTCCGGCGTTCCCAGAACGCCCGACCCCCGACCGTCATTTATGAAAGGGGGTCCGGCGTTCCCAGAACGCCCGCCCCCCTCGGGGCATTTATGAAAGGGGGTCATTTGCTCCCAGAACGCCCGACCCCCGACCACATCTGAAAAGGGGTCCGGTGTTCCCTAGACGCCCGACACCCCGACCCTCGTTCCATAGACGTCCGGCGTACCACGACCGTTGCGTGTGCGGGTTTGGCGTCCCCTAAATAGCAGACCCCACCAGCGTGCCTGTCGGCACGGTAGTTGGCCGGACCCCTCCCTCGCCCGCGTCCCCGACGGAACCCCGCGGCGTTTCATGTCCGTCCCTCCCCCTCCCTCTAGCAGCACCGAGGAGGGTCCGGCGTTCCCAGAACACCGGACCCCCTTTGTGCTGTGGGGGATGAAGGGGGTCTGCCCCACCCCCTCGATGACCACAACACCAAGCCTGCGCACCCCTCGCTCCCCCGAAGCGCGAAGGGGGTCCGGTGTTCCGGGAACGC